CTCTCTCATCCTTCCCTCCTTCCCTCTCTCTCTCTCATCCTTCCCTCTCTCTCTCTCTCTCTCTCTCTCTCTCTCTCTCTCTCTTACTCATCCATCCTTCCCTCCCTCTCTCTCTCTCTCTCTCTCTCTCTCTCTCTCTTACTCATCCATCCATCCTTCCCTCCCTCTCTCTCTCTCTCTCTCTCTCTCTCTCTCTCTCTCTCTCTCTCTCTTACTCATCCATCCTTCCCTCCCACTCTATGTACCTCTCTCTACCTCTTCATCACCTGCTCTCTCACCAACATGCACATCATCTCTTTCTCTCCATTATGTACCAAAGATATTAGTTATGTGTTCAGGTAGTAGAAAACACTGCGCACTCCATAATGTTGTATGTCTAACTCAGATTTTCTCCTTCAGGACATCGTCACACACACACATACACACACACACACATTTCTCACGACCAATTACCTATCGCACGATTCTTGTTCATTCAAGATGGATTGTCGTCATGCATGTTTAATTTGGAACATCACTGGTGTGAAATTGTTTCTTTTCTTTTTCAGGCTGGTCTCATCCAGCATTCGTAGCTATACCTACGGGGGGGAAAGCGCAATAATTCGTAGATATGCCAAAAAAAATCTCCGTATGTAATCCATGTAGTCATGAACGAGGAAGTATAAAGACTGGTTGGGGGGAGAGGGGGAGTGGATGGGTCCAACAAACCGCAAACGGTGATCTTTCAGTCAGGAGACTACTGTTCAGTCGCCATGTTAAACGAGAAGTCAATTTGATTTATTTGTCACGTAACTTGCATACTTCAGTAATGGCACTTCCTTAGTTATTTCAACCCAAACGACCATTTTTTCCTAAACATAACTACGTCTTTTGTTGCCTAATCCTAAATATTTACCGATCTTCTCCAAAACCTAATTAAGTATTTCACAATCCTTTCTCAAACCTGGCTAAGTATTTTCCGATCTTTTCCTAAACCTAACCAAGTAGTTTAGTAGCCTAAAACTAACTGTGTTTTTTCCTGTGAAGACGGGAGTTTATTTTTAAAAGAACGTATGCATGTTTTGAGGAGAAACTGACATTTGTTGCTTTACTTTCTTAGGAAAACGCACGAACAATTTGTAACTTTTTGTGAGGGAATCATACGAACCACTGTATAAGGATACATTGCTTTTTTTGTCCCTCTCTGTTAAACATACGTAGTGTAGACAACATTAGAGAACAGCTCTCTGTAACACTGACTTTCTGCTCCTTCGACATCTTCCCTTCCTTTAGTTGATGTAAATATCCGATTAATAAAGGAACACATCTTTTACTTGTATCTCTCTGTTCAGGTAATTCCATGTGTTGCACAGAGGCTGGTTTATATTTTGAACTATTGCTGGATTATAATAAAACATCTGTTAGAAAGCAATAACCACATTTTTTTCTTTCTCTTTTTCTCTGACCTCCCCGTCCCTCCCACCAGGCCAAGCTGATCGTCCCCAACAGTACGGCGGGGCTGATCATCGGCAAAGGTGGTGCGACAGTCAAAGCGGTGATGGAGCAGTCCGGGGCGTGGGTCCAGCTATCCCAAAAGCCCGAGGGCATCAACCTGCAGGAGCGTGTGGTCACCATCAGCGGGGAGCCGGAGCAGAACCGCAAAGCCGTGGAGATCATTGTCCAGAAGATCCAGGAGGACCCACAGAGCTCCTCCTGCCTCAACATCTCCTACTCCAACATCACAGGGCCCGTCGCCAACTCCAACCCTACCGGCTCCCCGTACGCCAACTCGACAGAGGTTATGCCATCTGCGGCAGCCGCTGCGGCAGCCACGGCTTCCTCTCTGCTCGGCCAGGCCAGCCTAGCTGGGGTGGGGGCCTTCCCGACCACTATGTCCAGCTTCTCAGGCAACGACCTGCTGACCATCACCTCCGCCCTCAACACCCTGGCCAGCTACGGCTACAACACCAACTCCCTGGGCCTGGGGCTGAATCCCGCTGCAGCCTCAGGGGTGTTAGCAGCTGTAGCGGCTAATGCTAACCCGGCAGCAGCTGCTGCGGCTAATTTGTTAGCATCCTACGCCAGCGATGCATCCGGCGGCATAGGTCACCCAGGCGGTCTCGGAGGCTTTACCCTGGGATCCCTGGCTGCCGCAGGGGCCACCAATGGCTACTTAAGCGCTGCGTCGCCCCTGGTGGCGTCATCTCTAATGGCCACAGAGAAGCTAGTAGAAGGAGCAAAGGAAGTGGTCGAGATCGCCGTGCCAGAAAACCTGGTAGGAGCCATCCTGGGGAAAGGAGGGAAGACGCTAGTGGAGTACCAGGAGCTGACCGGCGCCAGGATCCAGATCTCCAAGAAAGGCGAGTTCATCCCTGGAACTCGGAACAGGAAGGTGACCATCACGGGTTCCCAGGCCGCCACGCAGGCTGCACAGTACCTGATCAGCCAGCGAATCACCTACGAGCAGGGGGTACGTGCCACCAACCCACAGAAGTTGGGCTAAACCTGACAGCCAATGAGAAACGAGGAGGAAAAGAGGAAAAAAAAAGAGTGGGGGCTTGGGGGAGGAGTATAAAAAGAAGTGAGAGTGAGAACGGAAAAAAGGAGAGGAGAGCAAGTATGTCAGAAGGAATCGTCCGCGCTGTTTTCTTCTGCGTGTTTTCAGTATTCTCTATTAAAAAAAAAATTTTTTGACGCGAAGCAAAAATGTGCTGAGAAGACGAGGAGGGAGAGGAGTTATCACGCTGAAAAACCAAGAAAAAAATTGTGTAACATGTACATAAGGTTTTATTACTTAACGTCTTGACCTTTCGGGATTTTTTATTGTTTTGTTTCATTGTTTTATTGTTTGGTTTCGTAAATTAAGCTGTCTGTTTGTTTGTGTATTGTGTGGACAAAGCTGAATGCCATGTAGACAGGCCGACTGCCTGAGAGGCTACAGGAAGCGGGGGGAGGGAGGGAAGGGCACGGGTGCAGATAGGTGGGAGGGGGGGGTTGCATTTAAAGGGTACAACCCTCCACCCCCGCACCCCCAACCCTAAATCCCTTATGGAAACAACCCTTACCCCTCCCTCCCCCTGCAGCCCACACCCGTCCCCCTCCTGTCGGGTTTTTTCCTTCTAGTTTTGATTTGCCCCTTGCCCCGCCCCCTCTCTCACTACTTGCCCACCCCTCCAATCCCCCACCCCACCATCCCTTTTACAAGGGTTTTATAATGAGCAAGACTGCAAACTTAAGCCTGGTGTGTAAAGGAAGAAACATCCTCAAATCCCCCCCGACCCCTCTTATTTGCCCCCACCCAACTATGATCTCCCCTCCCCCCTCCCGCCCTCTCTCTTGGAGACGAAGGGAGGGGCGAAGTGAAATCGGGGAAGGGTGTGGGACGGAGGGGCGAGAATCAGCTGGATGTTCCTTCATTTGCACACCACCCCATGTGCACCCTGTGATGTATCCCACAAGCAGTGCAGCGCGGTGGGGGCGTTACAGCACGTAGCGCCCCCCACACCCCCCACATACACACATACACACACACATACACACACACCTTACGCACCCCTAGCAGCCCTAGTGTTTGAGATAGAATGCCGAGGCGCACGCTGATGACCTCACGTAGTGCGAAACCGACGAGAGTGATACTGTGCAAGCTGCGGCAAACACACGGGATCCACAGCATTTCTTTGCAGTCTGCTGTGATAATTCTGTTAACGAGATTGTCATGATTTATTAGGAATCATCTCCATCATCATTATTTATTAATGAGTTCACCCATGAAAAAAAGCTCAGTTGTTTTTTCTTTTTCTTCTTTTTTTTATCTGTGAATTCAGGTTGACATGAATGTAAATGAGACTTTTTGATTTGAATCTTTTGTTTTAATTTAAGTCGATTGAAGATGAATAGTAATGTTACATAGTGTAATATATGTCTTATTTAAGTCCAGTAAGCCACCCCAGGCATTAATATCATTACAGTGAAGGATTACCTTATACATACATATCTATATAGATATATATCTATATCTATATAGATATGTATATATCTATACAGATATCTATATAGATATCTGTATATATATAGACATCCAGTCAAAGAGCAGAACAGGGAACGCACACACACGCACTGAAACAAAACATAACGATGCCATATTTGGTGCTAGAAAAGGGAATTCACCATATCTTATGATGCAGACTGCAGTACGACCTCTAGATTAGCAATAGAATACCTGTAAGCCACACACACCACAGGCTGCAGTGCAGCGTCTACATTCACGGCTATATTAACCCTAAAACACCTGGGTCATCACACTTAGCTATCCTCTCATGTACTCCGAAACACTGCTGTTGTGTCTGAATCTGTAGGCAAAATGTCCCGTTACAGTTTTGCCTACAGTGTAACCGAAATGAGACTCAGACGAGCTGCTCAGCCTGTGGTCTTCCATGAAACCATTTAGATAAACCCAAAACCACAGACTACAACAAGCAAGAGCACTTAAGACTCACAACGTACTGCTACTACTGAGACAAATGCAAACATTGAGAAAGAGGAAACACTGAAGCACGACATTGTTCGTGTGGGGTCCACTGCTACATCTGCAAGCCTCACGAGTAGATTTTGCTATTTGAGGACAGCGTGCATATCAGTAAAGGAGATAAATAGCCTCACTGGTCTTCGCCCTTATCAAACAACCGTCCGACTGCCGACGAGGCAAAAGGGCAGACATGAGAGATTTTCAACACACGTCCAGGGAGTTGAGCTCGTTTCCGCCTCTGGCAAACCGCAGGTCACCCACGGCAACAGGTGTACTGCCCACTGTAGACCCAGGAGGCTGCTGGAGATGCTGTCTTTTCTTTGATTGTTTGAACTCTTTTTTTGTGTCGTGTTATTATTTGATTTTTTTACAATCGGAGTACACTGAATTTTTGTCTTAATGCACTGTGAAGCGAGAGAGCGGTTCTCTCTGCCCACGAGGTCAGGGATGTGTGCTGTACAGACAGCATCGCGATCGGATGTATTTTTTTGTGTGGTATGGGGGGGAAAAACAAAACACATATATGAAATATATGTAGAATGCATATGAAGAACTTCACCAGAAATGTACGTCATATCTGAATACTGAAAGAGACTAGGTCGATGAAGAGGATATCAATCAATTGAGTTGACGGGTCGAGATCTATTAGATTCTACTCACACCTGTTGTTTCAGAGAATACTTTTTGCATTCAGGATGTTGGGGGGAGTGTTAGGAGTCCAGCAGCAGATTAAAGAGACTGGAAGAAATTATAAAAAATTCACTTTTCTATCGCAGCTGTGTCTTTTTCATAAACAGTTGGAATTGGTAATGCACTGTACATCCCAACGGGCGAATCCCTGGACACGTGTTTAAGTGTGACGGAATGTAAAAATGACAAGTAATGAGGAGAGGGTGCATTTGATTTATTGACCTAAACAGCCCCGGTGAGGGGAAGGAACTCCTCTTAAGATTAAGAAAAAAACTCTTTCGAAACCAATCCGACCCAAAGTCCTCCACTGTGCTACCGAATGTGTCACTCTCTGTTGGAGCGCCAGTGAAGGTTTATCTCCGCAGCTTGGTAAGGAGGCTTCTTTACTCCCATCTAACACCATCCACACTCTCCTCACCCTCCCCTCCCCCTCACCCGTCCCCCCAGTCCTCAAACGCACTCCCATCCTGACACCCCCTCTACCTCCTACCACATCGCTCCATGGGTGACTATGTCTGGTGTGACGATCAAATGCATGTCTGCTGCTTGCCCTGACGAGAAAAAGAAAAAAACGCCACTGATCGCGTTTCTCTTCTCTTTGCCTCCTCGGGGGAGAGGGGGGGGCAGCCGACGCGCCCCCCGCCAGGAAAACCACCACACCTGCAGAGGGAGTCGTAGTCGAGGCCCGCACACACATAGAAACATACACATATCGTGAGGGAATACTTTGTCATTGGCGGGGTTTGACTGGATTTATGTTTGATATTTTGTAGACGAAAAAAACCTCATAAGACCATAGGGAGATAGTAGTTGTATTAGATGTAGCGTGCTTTTGTTTCGCTGTAGAACTGCACTGTGCTGGAAGCAGTTTGTTTGGTGCATGCTACGTCAGGTTTGAGCAGGTAGACTACATGCTTGATTTATCATATATCAAGCACAAATGGCAAGATTGTACTTTTTTAAAGGATTCGCTGCTTTTATCCGTCTGATATTGTAAATTGAATATGGTTTGGTTTGGGACTGTTCAGACGAAACCAGGAGTTAGTAGACTGTTCTGAGAACTTGTGATTTTTCACAATTTTCTGACATTTAATAGACTGAACTAATTTTCAGTCCAGCTAAATTTATATTTTGAGGATTCATTAGAGATGATTCCGCCATTCCAACGTTATGACCAGAGCATGAAAGTACTTTGGATACAGCACAGTGCATTCGCAGTGGAAAAACTGCATTGGAATTTCTGATGTAGGTGTCACTTGAGTTGATTAGTACTGGATGTGTTTCTTCTTCATCTCATTAATCAAACATTAGAATGATCGTTTTCGGTTTGTCTTTTAAAAAGCGGCCAATCTCTTTAGTCGTCTCGATGTTAGGGGACGGAGATCAAATGTGATCGAGTACTGGAAGCAATACACGTAGTGGCATGTTGTCCTGTCCTTTATCCTCTGTCTGCCGTTGGAGCTTTGGATTTAGATGTTGAATAGGTTTACACAAGTCATTTTCATTTTTTTTAAATTTGTGGGAAAATGCTGCTATTTAACAATTACCGATGTACTAAAAATACTAGGTGAAAACATATCGAAATCTGTCATTTAGCTGGAGAGGCTAGTCGCAAGCGGCAGTGTAATACAAGCTCTGTTATAAGCTGACGATAAGTTAATAATAGTGTAATTCTAACCTGAACAAAGTAAACCTGTGCCAAACTAGGTCTTTACAGAGTGTAAATGTGTCGATTTAAACCACATTAGACTAGAGGAGACATACTTTTATATTAAGAAAATGTGAAAAGTGCCAAATGAACCATATTTATGATTTACACGGGGAGGCAGTCATCCACGTGACAGTTTTTAGGAGTCAGTATAGGAGTTTGTTTAAGGCCTCTCAGTTCCTGCCACAAGATGAGGGACCGCCATGTTAGCAAAAGTGTTCAGCCAGTCCTCCGGGAAGTACATTTCCCAGGATGCAACAGCACTCCGACTCTGGGGCTCGACAAATCAACATAGCGACAAGTTAGCATAATTATGCTAAAAAAAAAATGTGACTTGATAGCATTCTTAAATACAGCCTTTTATAGTTACGATGAAAATGTATTTTGTGGAAATAGATGTTATCTTTTTTGCATGTCTATATTGCATGATATCAAAGTGAAACGTGGACAAAAAAATGGAGAAAAAAAAATCAAAGAAACAAAAAAACAGAAGTGACAAAAAATAAATTAGGCAGTGTGTGTCATTCATTTTTCGACAAATCTTTGCATGCCGATAAGGGTGGAGCATTTTGATATTGTTTTACACGCGTTCAAATGTTTGTTGTTTGAGTCCCGGTCCACCGGCCGACGGTGAACAAAATATTTGACCGTGACGTCACAACGAAATGAGTAGTTTGTCGTTGTCCAGCCATCCTCGATGGGATATGAATAAAAACTCTCGAACAAACATAAGACTATTTTGCTACTTGCCGAGCGAGCTTGTACTGAAAAGTTCTCAGTTGCTGCCTATCCTTAAGACAGAAAAAAAAAGAAAAAAAAATCTCATTTCAACGTAAGACTCAGATTGTTCAGGAATGTACTCACCTCTGCATAAGTTTGCATATCACTCCTCTGACCATTGACGTGCAGTAGAGGCTTACGTGTGTTCTCGTGTGTGTATTTTTGTGTATTCTAACATTACTAACCCTCGACGCACTGTGTCGAGCTCTCAGTATGTTGTCCTTTTTTAATCCCCCCCACCTCACCCCCCCCCCATCCACGCTCTGAGCTCTGGCTTGTCTTTGCATTGATATGCACCTTATTGACCTAAAATACGACATGGAGCATCTGCAGCCACCCCGCCCCCCCGTGTATTTCAACGGGAGAGATTCGTAAAAGTGTGTGAGACAAAGGGAGGTTAAAACTCCCCTCACTCCCCCCCGAATCCCCCCCCCCCCCTTCCCCCTTTGCTGCAGAATTTGGGACAGATTGTGTTTTCATTCCCTCATTATGCAATCCAAAGCTCTGATCTCAGGGAGAGAAACAATGCTGAACATTACCAGTGTGTTTTCTCTCTTTCTTTCTCTCGCTTTCTATTTTCCAAACTCAGTTCAATTAGATGCTTTATTGGCTTCAACGTCAAAGAAAAAAAAAAACAGACATAAATTATGCCAAAGTCCGTCCACCTTGCTCACTCTCTCTCCCTCCCTCTCTCTCTCTCTCTCTCTCTCTCTCTCTCTCTCTCTCTCTCCCTCTCTCTCTCTCTCTCTCTCTCTCTCTCTCTCTCTCTCTCTCTCTCTCTCTCTCTCTCTCATTCCTTATTATGCAACCAGAGTATTTCCAGTGTGGTCATGTTTTGTATCCTGACAGATGTTGTCATTGGAGATGGCCCGCTTCCTACTAAACTCCCCCAAAAAGAAAAAAAAAGGAAAAAAAATTCCATTCCTGCTCCATGTTTGCACTAAATTCTGCTGTTACTGTGCATGGCAGGCCGAGCCGAGGTTGGGGGGGAGGGGTCAGTGTGCGAGGCTACTGTAGATGTGTGTCCTTACTGTTAGCTGTTTTTTATCCAGTGGTGTATTTAGACGTGCATGCTCCTCCCTCTCTCTCTCTCTCTCTCTCTCTCTCTCACTCTCTCTCTCGCTGTCTGCTCCGTAGGCCAGCTCCGTGCTCGTGGTTGTCTGTGTGTGCAACGTATAGCCGGCTAGTCATTTTTTATATTGTAATGTGTAGAGGAATGCAAACTTAATTTCCACCTGGTCGCCAGGTGACCTCATCGCTTCTCAGTGGGTGTGGCTCTCCGACATAGTCCTCAGATTTGTTTTGATTCTTTTTTTTTGCCCCTCCACCTCCACCTCCACCTCCACAAACTCAAACCCACTCTCACCCACACCCACCACTGACCTCTTCAAACACCCTTCTAATACATATGGTGCCCCCCGCTCTTTCCCCTTTTCCACCCCACCTCCCCCCCGACTCGGGCCCTATCGAAGCACCAGCAACTGTAGACTGCATTTGTCATATCACTGTTTTTCTGTTCACTTCTACTCGTTCGCTGTTGATTTTTTTTTTTCTGGTTTTTTGATTTGTACTGTATGCTCTGTCTAACCTAGACCAGTTTTTTTTAACAAAAATGCCATTTTCTGTGTGTAGCCTGTTTACCCCCTCCCACACACAAACACACACACTCTCTTCCATGCCCTCTTTTTTGCACTTTCACTGCCCACTCCTCCTCCTTCAGCCCAAACATACACACACTTTCCTCCTCCTGCCTCCCACGAGTCTCTTCTCTCGAGTGCCAAAATAGAACAGAGAGGAAAAAAAACAAAACAACAACAACAACAACAACAACTACCATTCCAAGCGTTTCTTTGAGTTGTTCTTGTGTGTCGGACATCCATCCTTGGAAGCACCCATGAAGCCAGCATGCTCCGCCCTCATAACATGATGTCGCTCATGACGCCTCAACTGAACAGCACCTTTTGCCCCCCACCACCACCACCACCACTCCTCCTCCTCCTCCTCCTCCTCCTCACCACCCCCCACAGAGCTAAACCCGACAAGGATTAACCCCTCTGCAGGTTGGCTACCTACCTACTGCCCCGCCTCTCAACCTACCTTAAAAAAAAAAAAAAAAGCCCTACCGCTCATGCCAGCTGCTTTCCTAATTCTGTCATCTCTTCAGCCTGTGGGACTCCATTGATTGTGTGCCATAGTGTTGGGGGCACCTTTCACTCTCCTCACCTCTCCCTCTTTCTACCCCTCCCAAACCCTCACCCTCTCTCTCTATCTCTCTTTCTATCCCCCCTTCTCTCGCTCTCGCTCCATTTGATTTTTCTCGATGGGAAAGATTCAAAAAACTCCATTTTCTAATGATGATTTTTTTTTTGTTGTTGTTTAACATCAAAACCACGCACGCCGACACACGCACCGCCCACCTCCCCCTACTCCGCGCGGCGGTGCGGGGAGCGTTTCCGCACCGCCAGCTGCACAGCCATCCTCTGTCTTCTTGAACTTTTTTGAACTTTCACCCCCTCATGAACTTTATTGACCTCCTTCTTCCGCCTCCTATACCCCAACCCCCCACCCTCTGTGTTCATCCAACTGTTTGGACGATAACTCTCCATTCCATCCCCAAAACCTCTCTCTGAGACTGTGCAATGCTAGCTGATATGATTGGATTTTTTTTTTGTTTGTTTGTTTGTTGCTCATCATTGGGGACAATTCTCTGAGATATAGGTCGAAAAAGAACAAACAAAAAAAAACATACAAAAGGAAGGGAAAAAAAGAAGTAATGCAGACAAACAAAAAGAAAAAAAAAACACTAAACAATTGTTTCTCCACAATTTCTTTCTCTCTCATTGTAAATATTTTTGTCAGATTTTTTTTGTCGAGCTGTAAAGAGAGAAGTGTTGAGCAGAAAGGGGCCGGCAGCATAAAGAGGTACTAGTGGACGCGGTAGACGGTCATCACACTCCTCATCCTCTGTATCTGATAGTTAGGTCTGCCTGTATAATCGGCTATATTTCTACTGTGTTAACCTGTGCTGTTGTTATTAGTGTTGATTTACCTACTGTATTCGCTGTGTAGCGTCCATGTTGGCTAGCAAACTCTTTAGATTCCTGTGCTCACCGAACAATAATGACTAACCTTGAGAAGTAGTCCCGAGCCATTCTCAACGTAGGCTTGTTTTTTGTGCATTTGTTGGTGTTTTCCTAACAGTGAGTTGTAGTGGCGCTCATATCTTTTCATCATCAAGCCGTAGTTGTTGAAAATGCTTGGTCGTGTTAGACATATCATCGTGGAAAAAAAATGGCTCGACTCGGCTCCTCCAGGTTGGAGAAAAAAAACAGGGAGGTGGACAGAACAAAATAAAGAATTAATTAAGCTCCTCCCGGGCTACAAAACGAGGAAGCTGAGCTGCTAACCTTTGTGCAATACAGTCCTAGTTTACATAACTTAGAATGATAGTTTAGAGAGGGTTTACCTCTGCAGGTGCCACTCAACCATCTGCCTGCAGAGCTAACACTCGTGGCATATCTCCACATTTCGCCAGTGCATCTGAGACATTTTTGAAAGTATTAAAGTGACCTGCCTGAGATTAGACGCCACCATATCATCGCATCGCTCTGAGCTCCACTCTTGATTTATGCTGCCTGCCCCATTGACCTGAGGACACCACATGAGCTATTTATTTCTCAGACTATTATTATTATTATTATTATACTATTAATAAATAACGAGAAAAAAGGGAACGACTGGAAAAAGGTGAATTAATATTAGTATTGTTTTGTTTTTTTATTTTTTTAGTATTTTAGTGGTTGCTTTTAACAACATTCATTAACTGACTTAAAGAGTATTGAATATTTAATGTAATTGTAGCATTGTGTTTGTAAAGAGAAAAAAACCCTAGTGAGTTGTGTTTCTTGACTTGTGGATTACCAGTGAAGTGGGCAATCTAGTGCTAATATATATGAGGTCTTTTTTTTAAGGATTCTTATTTTGCGACAGCAACAGCAGTCATTATAAATGTTCATTTTAGCATCACCTGTCTTCCGTTGTCTTATTCTTCACCTTCCACCACACTCTGCATCATCACAGTAACACATCGCAAGTCTGGGGGTGGTCAAGAGTGACTGTGTGTGTCATGAATGTACGTGTGAGCGTAAGTTAACAAACCTGTGTGTTTATTTATGTGTGTCTCTGCAAACTGTGGTAAATGTGTGACTGTGTGTGACTGTGTGCGTGTGTGCGTGTGTCTCTGTTTCTGTCCACTTACTTATGTTTGACTGCATGTCTGTTTGTGTGCGTGTAGGTGTGTGTGTGTGTGTGTGTGTGTGCTGGATATGTGCGAGCGGGGTTCAGGGTGGGTGTTCTGTCCAGTGTCCACCAACAAAAGCTAAAACCGGTCAGGCTTCCATACCTCCTGATGGAACCTCCTGACGTTATAGCTGCAAACCCTCATCATGTGATCTGACTCAACTCGACTGTTCATAACCCCCCTTCAGTCACCTGACCAAACCAAATCAACCAATCACTGTCCACCACTACCACCTTCCCCCTGCGCCATCCTTTTTGCTGCACACCACGTCAGCCCCATGTGATGTTCTCCATCGATAACATACTACTCTACTGTCACAATCTACTGTTACATGCCGACAGCTCTGGGGATAAATACTCGTCTAGACTGGACGTTCAAGTGCTCTCAATTTGAGGCGTGCTTGGATTTGTTTTACTAATTTGCGTTTTTTCACCGCCGAGATTATTCAGTGTTTGCAAATGAAACGAAGCGGTCCTTGAGTTGCTCAAAAAAAGTAAATTAAAAAAAACATGTATAACTCAAGTCGTTTGATTTATAAAGGGCTATTTCACCCTCAAAAATAAATGCAATGTTTTGTCAAGTTTTTGAGGTATCTGTGTCCAACATGTCGGCCTCCACTCCAAAACAATGCAGGTGAATGGAATTTAGTTTGAGGTGCTCCAGCCTTTAAAATGTAACGAATCTACAGCAACCTTGTGTCCCTCTTGCTCTGGATATACCACAGACCTCACTGAGCACAGTT